CACCTTCCCTGCTCCACAAACTAACTATCTCCTTTCTTGCACCTACCTACTTGACACTAACAGGCAGATTCAGTTCAGCTCTATATCAAGTACGAAAATCACCCCCATCAAAGCACCCAGACTTGCATCAGCAGCAGCTTAGTAGCTGTACATTTATTGCAGAGAAGTCTGGCAGTCCAGAATGATATGCTCTTTACTTCCCAGTTTTAAATCCCTTGATGCAGCCTTTGCTCACTACCCTCTACCTCCAGGCTCTTCTCGGTCATGACTATTTGTGACAAGGACTCCTGAGCTTCAGCTCACTATGTGACAGCCATGAGAGACGATCCTCTCCCATCTCCTGATGGAGCTGACAGCCCCCTTGGCAGGGAGAACTATGAAGACTTCTGGTCTTGACGCTTTCTGGCTGGTTTTCTACAGTAACACCTCCACTCGCAATGAATGGCCAACCCTTGTAGCCATGCCTCTCACAGCCACAGCCCCAGCAGGCTACTGCCCCGAGCTGACACCCCCACAATTTCCTTCTGGGAAAAGTCAAATGTTTTCCTTAGGGCTTCCCAGCCACTGTCTGTGCAGCCATTTGTTTGGGTACCATCCTCCTGTTGTCCAAGCTGTTTCCCTTCAGCTTGCCATCGTGCCAGATTGTCACACGGTGTCTCAACCATCCTCCTTTAAACCTTTTACATTCTCCTCACCAGGGAGCTCTTGTGAAGCATGCTTTTTGGCTTGACTCCAAGCAGGATCTTTCATGTCATCATTTCTTTACTGGCTCCTGTCTCTGCGCAACCAGTAAAGAGACAGTCTTGAGAAGCAAGGCTCCTTGAGAAGGTGGGATGTCACAGCTACACTATGGTCCTCCTCCATAAAACCCACCCTCCCTGGGGATTGAGCACCCCGCCTACAGCACAGGTGAGAGAGCAGAGCACTGAGTCTCCAACGTGCAGGTGAAATCACTGCCGTGGGGATAGAAGCCCAAAATGTCTCTGCTATGGACAGGTAAGGGAAGGAGGGAAGGGAAAGAGAAAAAGAAATAACACTGGAGCGTTGAGTTAGGACATCTGGCCCATGGGGATGGAGTCTTCTTCCTGCCCCACCACCACTACCTCCAGTATCCCCGTAACAGCACAGGCACACTGGTGTAGGTGAAGGGTCTGGGTGCTGTCTGGCTGCCCCGAGGCTGCTGCTCTCCATGGTTTCTGACAGCCTCTAGATCTGACCTTGAGCTACAGCAAGCAGATACCATCCATTCAAACAGTTGCATCTTTTAAGTCACCGCTTTTTAACACAGGTCTCTTTTGCTTGCCCATCGAGTTAGGAAATTAAGCTTATCTCCTTTGTTAAACCATTTATTATACAGCAGCTCATTCAAGCTGTTCTTCCCAGACCATTCACCACTGTATTACTGACAAAAGAGCAGTGTCCCAGTCTTCCAGCCTTTGTTCTGGTACCCGAATAATCTCCTCTGTGGCTCTTCTGCCGTGGCGGCACATATACAACTTGTGTCTATAATTCAAAACTACTGCTCATTATGTGACACTAATCTGCGAGAAACTGCCACCCATTTCCTCACCATTACTCTTTGATTTCAGATGTTTAGGTAGAGCAAATAGACCCTCAGTTAATAAAAGCAAACTGCTCACTAGGAATGCTGTATGGCAGAGCTACATTTGAAATCTAATAATGGGAAAGAGATTGAAAGTAAAGACAATAAGCATTCCAGATCATACTATTAGAGAAGGATGGAAGTTTCTACATAGTCAAGGCTGCAATCAGTTTCCATTTCAGCTCCTTTATTGGCTTTGACTTAGAAGGTTTCTCAGGTCTGAAAAATTCAAGGTTTATTCTTGATGAAAAGAAGAAAGCATTTTGCAAAAAAAAGCAGGACAATTGGACAAAATGGCATTGCAGATAGCTAGCACAGAAAAAGCAGGATCCAACTTCCCAAAATCATCATTTTTTTTAATGCATGAGGGGATTCATGTGTCTTGTTTTTTGAGCAGTTGAGATCATATTTTCAAGTTTTTTTCTCAATAATAATGAGGTCTAGAAGATTGTTTTTCCTTCCATTAAAATAAGCTCAAATAGTAATCACATGCACTCAAGAGCTGAAAAAAAGCAGCAAATATTTCAAAACAATCACTCATTCACAGAAGAAAAACAGTACACTAAAATACTAGCACTACATTTAAAACAAAAACAAAACATGCAAACTATGAGTCAAAATGAGGGTTATGAATTTTTGAAATGTGTGTTTTTATACTTAATGAAATGTGGCTCATAATATGGGTAGTGTGAGATTTACAATGTTCTAAACTATTCATATCCTTACTTGCAAATGTTTGGATTTTACAAATGATGTGACAAGTAAATACATTGCTTAGAAACCATGGTGGGCTTTTGAAACGAATTCTTTTGTTTCTGGATTTTGACTTGGCAGGTGTTTGGTGCAGTGGAGTTATCAAACTCCTCTGGTTAGCACTCAGACAGCACCAGTCATTCAGGGAGGGCTCTCAGATAAGGATAAAGCTTAAAAATCTGAGGCTCATGTTATTCCAGCTCCCTGTCTGCATGGCATGCCCTCAATACCTCTTACAGTTTCAGTCACGCTGTGTCCAATTCCTGAAACCAAAAACCCTCGTGAGCCCCAGGATCTTCTTTTCTTCTAGGAAGCATTTTCTATGAAGCTTTGAAATGCAGGATGAACTAAGCCAAAGAGATGCTATGGTGAGGTCATACTGCTTTTAAATAGAGACAGAAAGAACTAGTCTGAAATAATTTATAATGCTATCATCTAAGAGAATGATCTTAACCAGGAAATTGAGAAGTGGGAGTACTTATAAACTCCACCCTGATCCCAAACTCCTTCCACAACCCCAGAATAGCTGGCGTTACTACTAATATGATCTACAGTAGCACATTTAAACATGGTTAACATTTAAATTTAGGTTTCATAAATTACACCCTGTAGAGATGGATAGAGACAGCTCCTATCTCTTTGAGGTATTGTTTCATTTGCAGATTCAAGCAGATGGTGCACGAGCAACTAATGACTCAAAAAATCACCCCTAAAAATAGTCCAGAACAAGGTGTGGATTTATGGAAGGAGGAACAGAAAAGGCTTTACTTCCCATTCCCATTTCTCTGGCACAGCTCCAGTAGCTCAGTGCATCCAGAGGATCCACGGTGCTGAGCAGCACTGAGGACCCCTTCACACCCCCGTATTCATGTACCTCTCCTTGCCACCTCGTGCAGGATGGAAATGAGATGGTGAAGAAACCAAGGGCTCCGCTCTCCCCACTTTCCCCACACCAAGCCTGAATCCAACCCAGGAAATCCACCCTGGGAAATTAGATCTTCATCAACTCTATCAAGAATTCCTCAGCAGAGCCACGTGGCACCATCAAAACTTTCCTTCTCCCAGTCAGGTGGGTGCCGCTTCATGAAAACTGACTTTCCCAAGCAAATCCTATAAATACTTGTCACTGCTTCCTCATGAGGCAACACACGGCACTATATTGTACTTCCAGTGGGAAGTCAAATTTGCTGTCATCCCCCTGTTTATAGTGATATTGTAGCCTCATGTCTAACCACACTCATACCAAATCTTGTGGAGACAGAGGCTCCCTCCAGGATGTGTTGCTGGGGTTTGAGCAGGGGTGAAGCGTGTCAACGTTAGCAGCCTCGGCATGGGGGGAATCCTGCTGTGCAGCAGAATTATGGAAACCATAAATTCCTCAGAGCAACACGCCTGAGTTTGTGCAATGCCTGGCAGAAGGCACTGTTCATGGCTGTCCCCAAAGAAATGCCGTTCAGAACTAATAAATATTAATAATTGCTGGTTACAGATTCCAGCACAGGTAAAGCCGCAGCTTGAGAAGTAAAATGTTTCTGTATGAAAAGCGGGAGGGCCTCCAGCAATCTGAACAGCTACAGGAAGATAAGTGTTATTATTTACTGCAGAAATACACACAGAAAATGTGTATTAAATCACACTTTGGTTGCCTCTGTGCAGCAAAACTCTCCCTCTGTTACACACCTTGCTCTTTTCTCTTGTTCATATCATGAGTTCTCCCCACTCCACTCCTCACCTCCCTGTCCTCTAAAGCTGAATAACCCGGGAAGAAAGCAGTCTCTTCCTCCATTTTCATTAATAGCACAGACTGCTACCACAATGTTATCTGATTCTAAATGTTATACTTAAACTGATTTGTTAGACCATGCTTAGTTTTTTTTCTTTTTGGGTTGTCTTATCTGTTTATTATGCAATAAAAAATAGTTGCTGCTGGGGCTCATGATTCAACCGCTCCTGACGTATATTATTTCACTGAACCATAGTTCTTTTCCCTGTTACAAATGCAGCTCTAAATTTGTTAGAGCTTGCCTATGCTCATGCTGTGTGTTTCTACCCTCCTCTTATGGCATCCTAAATAAAAATAATGTTTAAAAATAAAGGAAAATATATGCTAATTATATACAATGGGCTAGAAAACAGAGTTGCACTGAAATGCATTAGGTGAGGATCTGGCTATATCAGCAAGATGAAGCAAACAGTTTGTAGAGTGAATTCTAAAAGAAGAGGGAAGAAAGCAATCATTTACACTGCCAAAGCCTCAGTACGACCTAAGGTGTACAGATGAACCTGGGCCAGAGGGAAAGTCTGGCCGTGGCAAATACACCATAAAGTCAAATTCTGTGCTGGCAGAGGGATGGTGCAGAATGATTTACTATAACTCTTCTAACATTCATGATACCGAGGGAGATGCCAGCATTCTGCTTCATTAACCAGTCATTTTGATTTCATCTTTTTTTTTTTTTTTTTTAAATTCTAGTAATTTTCTCTTCTTTGCAATTATACTAGGAGTCTAAATCCCTCTACATAAATTATAGCTTTCTTTTTGAGCGGGAGACTGGCCACATGAGCTGGAAACACACTCTCCTCTGAAGCCAGAAGGGAAAGAGCTTGAGCAGCAACCCTGGACTAATTAAAAGATTATCTTTACCTTGCTCCCACAATGAGCTGGTTCCTGTTGGCATCCAGTGCAAGCTGAGAAAAGTCATGCACACCTGGATAGGTGAAATTCGAGACCCAGGGCTGCAGATCTGCAACAAAAATGAGAAAGCAGAAAACAATAAAGCTGCTCTAGAAGCAGTGAGTTCACCCGGACATCCACTAATGGATTCCCTACTGAGTTATCTGTCAGGGGAAGGCTAATTAATAATCTATTTAAAGGGTTTCTATTTATTCTGTTTCTCCGCGGAATGTGCAAAAAACAGTACATAAATGCAGGGCTGTCTCAGCAGTTATTTTCACATCCAAGACGAAGTGTCAGCACTGGTTTCAGAGACAATAGCAGCCTGATTTTACATCTGTTAAAACTGGGGGACCATCTTCAGAGCCAGGGTTAAGTGACATAAAGGGACCAGGTTGCCCACCGTAACACCTCTGTAGCCTTGCCTCCCGTGCTAAGCAAAGGAGGTGGGGGTCAACTGATTGAAAACCAAGTTAGAGTAGAAGTGATCTGCACTCAAGACCTGGCTGCTCCAATGACAGGTTTTACTTTCTCTTTCAGGTTTTACTTTCTCTTTTAGGTTTCACTTTACCTAACATCTGGGCTGCCTATCAGTGAACTCCTTCCTTAATTTAGCTGGGGACAGGGGAGGGTGTCAACACAGGGTCTTTGTTGGCTGAGAGACTGCACAAGCTTGAGACTGGCTCTATCAACTGGCTTGGATTTGCCAATCCAATCTAGACAATTGTCCAAACTGTAATCACACAGGTTAAATGCAAAGTGATAGATCTGGCCACTCTCTGCTCGTGGAGACAAAGCTCTTCCAGAAGTTACAACATCAGTTGAGAGATCTAGGGCAGATAGTCCTGATGTAATAAAAAATACACCTGTTTAAAGAAAAAGCTGAATTACTATTTTTAAGGTACTCTCATGATGGTAGGGCGTTCACAGAATCCCAGCTTTCAATACAGTTACCAGCTTTGACCTTGTGTGTATCACAGATCACAGAATTTCAGCCTCTCACCTTGCACCTTTACTGCATGAAATAACTGGGGATAGATTCATATGTAATTTTCAGAAAGTCCTCCAGCTGTACTGTGAGGATGGATAGATTCATACATATCTTTCAGAAAGTCATCCAGCTGTACTGTGAGGACTTCTCTTGGGAATTTATTCCAACTGTTAACTACACTGGCTGTTAAATACATGGAGAATACCAAATATCTGAGGGAGCAAGGCACAAATGAGACCAAATCAATATATCTGTAATCCCTCTGCGACCTTTTGACAAGTAACTCTGCCTCATTCAAGGACTGGATATTGAAGATCCTGGAAGCTCAACATGAAAGGTAATATCTTTTGGCCTCACGCCAACAGGATACCAATACACAGGCCAATGACCTGGTGACTCATAACAGCAATGATGCAGTTCAGACCAATTCAAAAGGGCTCTGAAAAGACATGCTCCATTGTCATTTTATATCCCCAATGATAAATGGAGAAGTCTCACTGAGGGCAGCCAGGTTTGAATGTTTTGTTGTAGGCATTAAGTCCCCTTTCAACAGGGGTGAGATGACAATGCTGATGAGGAATCTCATTAAGGCCTTTGGCATCTTGGCATGCTTTGTAGGGTTACAGATGCACAGTGGTTTAAAACCTTTGACATATGGATATTTGTTGAGCAATTTCAAGTCCCTTCTTCCTCCAGGTACAGGTGAAACCTAATCAAGCCCTTCAGTTACCAAAACCTTAAGAAAACACATATAAAAGCCCCTGCACTCCACCTGTCCTGCCTCCTTTTCCAAAGCAGAACCTTGTGGTGGGGCTTCTGCCTCTGCTCCGAACACCACCGCATTTTCATAACAGTTCCTAAGCCTCCTCACCATGGAGCTGGACACCATCAGGCCTGGTCCTATGCCCTACCTAACTGGACACTGCCAGGGCCTCTCTGACAGTGAGACCTCCAACCTTGCAATCTAAAAACCCTGTTCCCGGGAGCTGGAGACTTCCAGCTCTTCTCAGCATTCCTGTCACACTGCGTAACCACACACAACACGTGTACCTCCTCTGCTCTTCAATGAAAAGGCATGAGTTAAGGAATAACTCAGCCCGTCTAACCTTCAAGCATCTCCACCTCCTACACTCCTCTGGGACCCTTAATGATGTACTAGCACCAGGGAGGCACCGCAGTTTCACCTCTGGCATTCTCTGAACTAATGGGGCTCTGTCTTCTTTTCCTGTAGCTCTTTAGCTGCAGAGACATTTCTGAGCCAAGCAGCAGAACCAGCAACAATAACACCTTTCAGGCAGGTTAGCCAGCTGACATGTGCTGCAGATCTCCTGGCATTTCTGTTGGCTGATGGGGGTGGGATTAGGGGATTGCTATATAATGATGATACCTTTTAAGGATTGTGCTTTTAGGCCGTAATTTCTCTTGTCATTTTAACTCCTCTCCTACCAACTCTTTCCTACTAACTAACCCACTATTACAGCGCAGCGGCAGGAAGAATATTTCTTCATCTGCTGCTCTAAGCAAAGGCTGCTCACTTCAGAGAGGTACAGTGCTTCCTTTTAATGGCAAGCTCTGACAAATTACAGGTAAAAATAATTAAAAAAAAACTAAAGGCAGTAGGTGGCTTGAATCTTTCCATGTCGGCTGAAATGTCAATCAAGCCCAAGAAATAACAGGCAGTGTCTTGATTTCTATTACTACTGCAGGTGGTACAACTTATAAAGAAACCCTTCCTGGTTATTAAATTAAAGGCTGCAAGGCATGCATCCTCATAGCAAAATTAAGCTTTTATAGGCATATAGTTGGAGATTATTAAACCCAGCATGGTCCCAGCTAAGAATGTCTAAATGTGAGTTGTCAGAATTAATGCCAAACGGCACTTTTTCCTTCCCAACCTTCATTTTTGCTGCTAAGAGAGAAGAGATAAAGTGGAATGGAAATGCAACCAGGAGTTGGGACATGGTCCTTTTTCATTCAACACATTCAGATCTACTGCTCAGACCACAGTCATCCCTAAGGACAATTCCAGCCTTTCATTTTGAAACTAGCTCAGTTCTCCAAGGTAAGTGCTGCCTTGGGTCTATCTCATATTAGCTGAAGTTTACACATATGGACCCAATGAACTACAGAGTTTGCTTGTATTTGACCTTTCTCAGAAGGCTGATTTTTCCAGTGCTGACTCTTTAATTTGGCTGGAAACCTTCAGTGCTGGGGCATGTTTACATTTGCAAAAGTATCTGTTTAAAAACAGTATGAAAAATTAAAAACCAAGGCCCTGGCTTTGCATGTCAGCAGCAGGAGCCGGAAAGCAAGGAACCACATGGCTTAGGGGCAAAATGTGCATCAAGGCCTCCTTTGTGCTTCTCATCTCTAATCATTTCCAGGGGGTTAAAGATCCATGCTCTCACTTCCTCCACATGAGGACCAACGAACAAAAGTTTAATAGTTTCCAACACCGTCCGTCGCCAGACATCTGATTCAGACCTTCTAAAGCTCTGCAAGTCCCTTCGTGGCTCAAGGTGCTTCAGGTATCCAGCTGCAAAGAAGGCAAAGCTTCGCAGGAAATGTTAAGTCTGCAGACACAGCTGTGCTCAGGCCATTATGCATGCATAAGACAAGGTGAAAAGAGGCCCTCTGCCATTTCAGAGGGTGGTCCCTGCAGCCTGCTGGCACTGCTCTGCACTGGCTTCCTGAGAGTGCAGGACCGGGAGGAGGATTAGTCAGCTGCACAAAGGACGGCGTGCCAAATTGCAGGAGCTGGGTTTAAAGGCCTGATCCAGAGGCTCTTCAAATCATTGGCCGTTTTCCACTGAGCTTGATGGGGTTTGGATCAGCTTCTAAAGATGTGGTAAACCTGGTAATACTTGAGCCTTCATCTCCTCAAAACCAGCTGCTCCCCACCTCACCCTTAGACTGTGTGTTTTGGAGGAAAGAAATATGTAAACACTGAGCTGAGACTTCCCTGTCTGAAGGACAGCATTTATTGCTTCATCTCACTGGAGCCCACTTGTAGCTCCCATCTCCAGCAAGTTGTAACAGCTTTGTGCATCCAGCACACACCACGCAAGAGCAGAGAGGTTAAATGCCCGTGCCTTGAAATTGCAAAGCCATTGCTAGGTGTGTGGAGCATGGCTAACCACTGGGCTGTTCAAGAACATCTCTTCTGGAATAACTCTCAGCATGGATTTCCTAGTCTGGAGCGAAAGCTAAACTGAACAGGACCAAGGATTCTTGGTGCAAAATAAGGGTATACCCACATATAAACTACCCATGCTTCTATCTGAGCTAGCTTTGAATGCCAGTGAGGCTGCACGAGCAAAAACCTCAGCTTGAATTACTCATCCAAGTATTTCTCCTGTGTTTTGGGCAGAGTTTGCAGCCCAATATGAATACCACACTGCCAGTTGTAAAGTCATTCTCTATACAGGAGGTGGGTAGTTGAAAGCCAATTCATGCACATCTGTATAAGCCCTGTTCACACTTTTGAGTAGCAGCATAGTTGCCGCTCAAGGTGTCCATGCATCGAGTTATTCTGGAATAGCTCCTCATGACTAGTGCCAGTTCTAGTCACTAGCTGTGCCACCACATAGAAACATGAGTCTCCTGCTGAAAACAGGAGGATTGCACAGAAAATCTTCAAAGATATCATGAAAAGACCTTAAGGGAGGAAGATAGGGAAGTTAAACATGAAGGAAGATCCATAAGTACCATTCCAGAAAAGACACCCTGAACCACATACATTACATAAAGCCCCTGTAAAATAAGTAAGGTCTTGTGCAATGAAGTAGAGCACACATATAGCACTAGAGGCCCGTCAAATTCAATGGGAATAGATAAATACCTGTTCTGCAGATAATCAGACCTACTTTTGTGCAGTCTTAATTTGACTACGTGTTCAGTGCTTCCCTTACTGCTTCAGTATGGTCTCTTACATGTTCTCTTAACTCACGAGACTTAACTCCCTTAGCTGGTGAGTTCATGGCATGTTTAATTACTGTGTGTGAGTATTTCAGCATTCCTGGGGAGGGCCAGATGACAACCATGACTTCTGTAACTGTACAAGCTCCTCTCCTTTCGGA